TGGTTTTGTTAGAAAGACTCTGAGATGTTCCTCATTCAGCAGGGCGCTGGGATGAGTGAGACAGAGGGACAGTGTCCCATGCAGTGATGCTGATTAGCTGGCATCTCACCCTTCCCTCTTTCCTTCACGAAGCACCAGAGATGCTCCAGGATCTGGGAACAGATTTCTGGCCTCATGTGTAGGTCCGTGGTGGGCATTAGACTCCAGTGTCTCGGTTCCCTTCTCTCTCTGCCTGTTCCGAGTCTCCAGTGTGGACTCTTCTCTCGGGAATGTTTGTTCCTTCGTGGTTCTGCCTTTTCCTTCTGCACTGTTAGGCAGTGTCATTTTCTTCCAAGGATGCCATCTCTATGCCAGTAATCTCTAGCCCAGAATTTATATATCTCTAGCCCAGATTTCTGTCCTGAGCTTCAGATCTAAATACAAGCTGTGCTTTCACTGTCCTCACTTAATTGTCCCTCATGGGATGTCCAAAACCAAACTCAGCCTGCCCTGCCTTTCAGCTCAAGTCTTCTCTGTCTCAGAGTGACGCCCGTATTCACAAACATGGTTGTCAGCTTCAACTCGGTCTCTTTCCCCTTTCCCCTGCATATTTCTGTCACCTTCTCTGCATCCAAGATTGCTAATATTTATTCATTAATCTTGGATTTACAGTACAGCTATTTCCTGTTAAAGAAGAGGGTACATTATATTCCCTTCCATGATTTCTAACACATAAGTTGCCATTCATTCATTCTGTCACTCAGCTACCATGAAAAGCAAAGGTCTCAACGTCCTGGCCTGTTCCTTTTGACTCATACCTATATATTTGGAGAAGGAGGTCTGAAGACTCTCGTCACGGCGATTTAGATCATACTTTTATGTCTGTAACTCCCTGCACCCCTACGCTTCCTCTTATGTGTTCATTTTATTTTTATATTACTTAGTAGAATTGTCTTCCCAAAGATAAGTCCCGTACATGCCAAGTCCTGGCTATTAGGACATTTCTGTACTCCCTGGTACATGAAGTTGGGTGTTCTTGGTGTTCCGATCACCAGGATTCCGAATCTTTCCTCCAAAGGTGTTTGTGCTCCTCCTGCGTACCAGTCCCTAGAGGACAGGAAGGTGGGAAAGTGTGTCTCCCTTCAGTCTCTCAGTGAGGAGAGAGTTCTTTCACTTTGTACATTTCTGTGTTACTTCATTTTATTTTTTACAGCTAGTAACTGCGTAAGATTGATAGGGAATATAGAAAAATAAGTTGAATTAAGGTAATAGAAATAGGCAAATTTCTCTTATTTAAATGTCTCTTTATAATAACAAAATGTTAAAAACCATGTTGTAAATCCTAGCAGGGACTTTTCTTAAAGTCCATGTTTCCTTTTCAATAGATTGTTTCTATCCAAAATTTTAACTGTCTTAAGCCATCAGGTTCATAGTTGATGTGAGTATATGAAATCACTGGCATTTTTATCACTTAAGTGCAAATTGTCAGCTCTTTAAAAAGCCAGCCCACCTGTTGCTATGGAGTTTTCTGGGTCAGCAGCTTGTAATCTAATGTGTGTGGACTTCGGAGTGAGACAACTCAGACTAGGGTCCCGGCTTTGGCATCTCCTAGCTGGAGGTCCTTGGACAAGCTGCTTAACTTTCTCAGTCCTCCTTCCGTATGCGTTGGAGTTGATCAGAGTCACCTGACAGAACTGGGAAGATATGAATGAAGCATCTAGCTTTGTGCTTCAGATACAGTAGACACTTGAAAACTGTTAGCTTCTTGCTTCCTCCCTACCCCCTTCAGTTGGTATAGAGTTTATAAACTCGTTTTTCCCTGATGCACAATTCTGATAGAGGTAAATATGTAGAGTTCTTTTGGTACTATCCGGACACCATCCTCCTCGGACTCTGGCTGCTCTTCCTGCCTGCAGAAGTAAGCTCGTCCTCTCATCCTTCCACCTTTCCTGTGTTTCCACAGCGCATCCCTGGTGTGACCTCTGCTGTGACCCAGGAGTTCTCAGAGTTTCGGGTGCTATCTGACGTGTATCAGTTATCTACTGCTCTCTAACAAATTACTCCCAAACTGAGCAGCTTAAACAAAACCTCGCATTATCTCACAGTTCCTGAATCACGTGTTTGGGAGCGACTTGGCTGGTTGTTTCCGCTCAGGTTCTCTCTAGAGGTTTGGGATGAGAGCCACAGCTGCAGGCATCCGGGGGTTTGGTTGGGGCTTCCAGAAGGGCCTTTCAGCTGGCTGCTGTCAAGAGATTGCAGCTCCTCCCCAGCTGTGGGCACGAGGCCGAAGTACCTGCCGATACCCTCACCACATGCAAGCAAGAGACCCATGAGAGCAATGGGGAGCCACAGTGCCTGTCACTGAGCCAGCCAGTCTCCCGGGCCCCCACCAGTGCTTCTGCCTTACTCCGTCCCTGAGAAGCAAGTCACCAAGTGCCCCCTGCGTTTAAAGGGACGGAGAGTAAGGTGTACCTTTTGAGGGGAGCATTGTCTGGGACTTTGTGGACATTTAAAGACCGTCACACCTGACGTGCTTGTTGAAAAGTGGCGTTCTCCAGGCCCCCCTCACACCTTGTCGCAGGGCGGCCCAGCACCGTGGTGATTCCAGTGCAGAAGGCCTGGAGTCCATGCTTGGCAACGCACCGGGTCACCGGTCTTCCTTAAATAGTTCCACTTGGTCACACCTCCGTCTTCGCTCACATGTACAGAGCACACGCATCCCGTTCTCACCTGTAGACATCCTTTCTTAGGGCCTGCATGAGTCCAGTTACCTGCATGGCACCCAGACAGACGTGCGCCCCCTCTCCCTGATAGTCTTTGTCCTGCTCCTTGGTTCTGATTACTTCGTTTCGGCGCTGCACTGCTGGTTAGGGACTTTTTAAATGATTGCTTTCACATGACCTGCTCTCCTGCCAGCAGAACTCTGACAGCTCTGTTATGACCATCCTGCTACTCGGGATTGAAAAGCAGTGTGGACGTGCGGATGCTGGGGCGCCGGCTCCCGCCTCCTGTGGTAGGCCGCAGCTCCTGCAGGCGCTCGTCAGACGGGGGCGTCCCTGTTGTGTGCTGTGCTTGGGTTCAAGTGTGCAGTTGTGAGGGGGGCCAGACGTGTTCCCCGTGGATGAGGAGGTGACAGTGAACAGGTCCACAGAAGTGTCTCATCTCATCGCAGCTTGAAAGACGCTCCGGGGAAGACGTGCATAGCAGCGCTGCGGCGTCCATCGAGGGCGGCAGCGTCGCCGAGGCGCTCAGGGCAGAGCAGCCGCCTGGGCCGGCGGGGGCTCGCGTTCTGACGCCGGGAGTGGACGAGGCGCTGGCGCTGAGGTCGGAGGGTGGGCAGAGGCTGCCTTGGCGCAGGGCGGGGATTCCAGGGCAGGGCCCCAGCTGTGCTGGTGTGTGGCTGGCTTGGGGCTCTTCTGACCTCGGCGTCACAGAAACCGCGGGAGACTCATGTTGGACGCCGGGGCAGGTTGGGAAGCAGGGTTTCCACATTCGCTTGACACAGAGGCTGCGAAAGGGCTCAGGCCTGAATGCTTGTCCGGGCGGCTGTCTCGTCATCTCGGCGTGCGACGTCGTGGTGGGCACGGCGCAGCAGGAGGCACGAATGAGGTGACGAAAGTGCCCCTGCCTTAGCGGGGTCCAGTCCCCTGGACGGAGGGCTGTTGGTCCGAGGCCGCATTTAAGCTCTGCGCTCAGATCGGTGTCACGTACGTCCGCCCGCGTCCGTCTCGGTGCTCCCGGTTCCGACTGCCACTTCCGTTCCCGACTAGACGCGGTGCGCACGGACAGGGACAGGGACAGGGACAGTGAGATCCCGTGGCTCCTCACCACTTCCTTCCGCGGAGCCAGCTGCTCCTCGTGCTCGAGCTCTTCCCAGCGCCCGCCTCCCGCGGGTGTCGGAGCCCCGGTGCTGGGGGGCCGGGTGCTGGCCACGCTCCCCCGGGAAAGGCAGCAGGACTTCGGAAGGTCTCATCCTCTCTTTCTGGTTTCCCTTTCTTTGCAAGAGGGTTGGATAAAATTCCGTCATTTTCTGAGGTCTTCTCACAGTAGCCCAGGCCGTAATGCCGAGACCTCCTCTGAGTTCATGGCATTCATCTGTGACGGCAGAGTAGCGTCTCTTCTTGGCCTGCGTGGTGGCTGGGCAGCTTTGCGGGGCTTGACTGGGCAGTTTTACCTGTGGTTTCCCCTGGCTGGGTTCGCCTCTGGGGCCGCATTCAGGTGGTGAGTTGGCGGGGGCTGCACTCAGGTCAGCGGGTCTCTCTCTACATACAGTCTTTCTTCCTCAGAGAGGCTGGACTGGCTACTTCATATCATGGCGACATTATTCCAAGAGAACACGCCCTGAAGCACAAGCATTTTGTCCAGCCTCCGCTCACTTCAAATTTGATAGTGTCCCTTTGGCCAAAGCAGGTCACACAGCCAGTACAAGACGTGAGGCAGGTCTAGTTGGGGCCGTTAAGATGACTGTCTCTCACAGCCTCCATGCTGCATGACCCACCTCCATTGAGGATTTCCTGCAGTGGTTTTGTTCAGCGTCTTCTCACAGAATTCCTTGGAGTTACCAATCTCATACACTCGGGATGTAGTTCATTGGGACTATATAAGTTTTGATTTGCAGAATTAGAACCCCTGAGTAGATACTCAGACTAAGTTTAATCACATACTATTCTTGCCTAAATCTAATTTTATGTGTTCAAGATAGCAAAATATAATTGAGATTGTGGTAACATTCTTCTCTGAGACCTCTGCCTTTTCACAAGATAAAACTAAAACACTTGGTATCGGGGTATAAAGCTACTTCCCCTGGACTTTCATGTTGGTCTTAGATGTGGACTACTGAACGTTACCAGTGTATCAGTCATCTAAGAGAAAGTTTAAACTTATATTGCCACAGTGGAATATCATATGTAATAACCAGTTTCGGGGGGCATTGTGTTTGTTTTTTAGCTCTTCAGAGAAGTAAGAATAATGAAGATTTTAAATCATCCAAACATAGGTACTTTCTGCTTTCTTAAATACTTTTGGGTCTAAATGCATTCTTGAAAGTATGTCACAAAGCTAAACATATACCAGGAGTGACAGGAGAACCCTTCCCTCCTCCCAGCCCAGGTACACTTTTAATAAATACATATGTACAAGTTGTTGATTGTTCGCAGTCACTGTTTGAAATTACTAAAGGCAGGTTTAAAGCTTAAGTGTTTAAACATTTGAATTTAAAGCTTGAATGCAGGTTATAATCAGATTATAATCTGATTTTTTAACAGGAAATATAGTTGTATTTAATTCATAAATAGAAGAATTATATTAGGTCAGAGTTAAGATTTTCAGATATATAACACCTTTTGCTGTAGCTGTGTTTCTAAGAAAATATTTGTACATTGAATCATATTTTAAAAGATATAGGATACTTGTTATCTACTGGAATTTTTAATATGAACTGCTTTATACAGTACAGATTTGTTTGTGTTCTCTGAGCACAGCTCTGTGCTAGGTGTGATGAGGGGGGCTTAAAGCCGAGGAAGGGCCATGGCTCTGCCCTCATAATTGGGAGACCAAGATGAAAGTATGCAAATTACCTAATCCCGACCCTATTACTTAGATACCTCCGTGAAAACTTTTGATCCCGCATATCATAATAGAGCTTTTTAAAATAATATATTTGCTTTATTTAAACAGCGAGGGTTCCTGCAATTGAAAACTATTATTTCAAGAGTGAAATAACTCTTAAGACAGCCAGTTGTATCAGTTTACTGTCAGAATCATTTCAGGAAGTGGAGGGGGGGTGACATTTGATGTTAAGGATATCCTTTCAAGAATTCTTCAGGCACAAGAAGAGTAGAATAAAATGGAACCGCAGGAGAGAGAAAGCTTATACCCTATTTCATCAACTCTAAACCACCATTATGTAAAAGGCGTTATTGTTTACAAACTACTAAGAAAAACAATGCCACCAAGCCATCATCTCATTACCAGTGATATTGGTAAAATGTAAGAAAATGTTCACCTTAGAATCCATAAAATATGGTATGTTTGAGGAAAAAAAGCGATGGAATATAATAGTGGGAATAAAACTTTCTTTTCATTTCAACTTTTTTGGTTTAGCTAGCCAACTCTGGATTTCAAATTCCAAAATTTCACCCCAAAACATGTAATCACTACTGCCTAGAGCTACCTAACGTAAACATTTTTTTTTTAATTACTTAAGTTGTACCCTAATTAGAGTTCTCTCTACTTAAGTGACATATCTTTGATAATATATTTAAATGTGTAAAACTTTAAATTTCTATGAGATTAAAATAGTTTCCCCAGGAAAGCCATTATTTGCATTGGAATTTTATTTATATTTTGATGATTTACCAACATATAAGTTTTAAATTTCTTTCAATGATTTTTCTTGATAGCCTGAACATATCATCTTAAAAATATGATAGTTTTACTCATCAGTTCAACAAACATATTAAATGTTATGTTAAGCACTTTATTTGGTCTAATACTCTACATTAAAGCATCAGAAAGTGGCCCGAAATATAAGGGACTAGCATTCCCCACCCACCCCACCCCCTTTTTGGTAAATTAAAAATATGTATTACCAAAATAAAGTAGATATGCAAAATAGTGATTTTATAGCTTTAGAAATTTACCTCAATTTCATTTAAAAATGTATATATTTCTGATAGAAATATTCGATCTGTAACAGGGACTAATAGAGCAAAGTCGCACTGACCCACTGACAATAATTATTTAAAAAGTTCTTTTCAATTAATTGTAATATAATCCCTTCTACTTCTTGTCATCTCTGGCTTCAGAATAGTAACAAAGGAACCTTGTTTTCAGAGAATTGTGATAAGCTTCCCAAGCAACAAAATCTAGAGTGGAATTAACATATATCCTTAAAGCCAGAATGACAAGTGAATGGACTTGCACTTGTAGGAGTAGAGGAGATCTGAGCACTTCCTGCAGGTTAAGAAATAAAAACGCTTTTCCCGAGGTGCAGAGGAAGGCTGCTAGCCACTGTTGACCTAATATATAGGCCAGTGACAGAGGAAATGAGCATAGATGCACTTCACCTGACTGCTGAGTGTGTAGTGGAGTAACATCATTTGAACACCCAAAATTGTCTTTATTATTTTAGAATTCTATGATCTTATAAATCTTTTCTGTGGTTATTGTAATGTATGATAAATTTCCTGAAAGCAATATTTAGAGGGCCAGCCATTAAAATCTTTACTAGGAAAAAAAGTTTTTTTGTAGTTACAGTTTATATGTATATGCATAAAAACATTTGTTTCTTTTTCTCCTATGTCCTATCTCCTCCCCCAGTGAAATTATTTGAAGTCATTGAAACTGACAAAACACTCTACCTAATCATGGAGTATGCAAGTGGAGGTAAGAAATTCATCTTTGTTGCTCTCCCCTCTCCTTCCCTTTTGGAAGAGGACACAGCCACGCTGCCCAGATGGGTAATGCTTAAGGCGTCGTTAACATCCAGACTCGTAACACACTCGAGTGGAAATCAGAAAAGCCAACTGGTACCAGCTCTGGAGTTGCTGTTAAGTGTTTCACTGTTAGCATTTTTTATTGATAATATCCAAGTATTTGGATTTTTTTATTGCCGTACAATACCCATAACATAAAATTTACCATTTTAACCATTTCAGGTGCATAGTTCTGTAGCATTAAAAATACATTCACATTGTTGTGTATCCGTTACTGCCATCCATCTCCAGAACGTTTTCATTTTCCCAAACTGAAACTCTGTCCCCATTAAACAATAACTTTTTTCCCCCCCTTTCCAGCCCCTGACACTCACCATTCACCATTCTGCTTTTTCTCTCTGAATTTGACTACTCTAGTACCTTTAATGAGTGGAATCATTCAGTATTTGCCATTTTGAGACTGCCTGTTTCACTTAGCATAATGTCCTCAAGGGTCATCCATGTTGTAGCATGTGACAGGATATCCTTCCTTTTTAAGGTTAAATAATATTCCATTGTGTATGCGTGTGTATATATACATATATATTACATATGTATACACCACATTTTGTTTCTTCCAAATACTTGGATTTTTAAACGTATCAGTGCATTAGCCTGTTTGAAGTAAATGTGTACTATGTGTTGGATTGTTTTTCCTTACCAGATTTACTGTCGCTGGTGGCCATCTTCCCCAAGGCCAGAAATGATGGTCACAGTGCACGTGGTTAGATTGTCCCTAAAGATTAAGGACTGGTGGTTATTTGCCTGCCAGCTTTTTTAAATGTAGGCATTTTTCTGAAATGGATATATGTAGCAGTTGTCTTTAACAAAGATTTTTATTTTAGGGGTAGGCTTGGGGTTGGCTTGTAGTGTTTGGAACACGCGTGAGTTTCACCGTCTGCAGAGGTCAGAAGCTTTCCCGCTTATCTTTTCCTCTTCTCTGCCTCTAGCACAGTGCCTGGAACATAGCAGATTCTCAGCAAATAGGAATTGAGCTGAATGTATGAAATTATAAACTACTCGAGACATTCCGTTTAACTCTACAGTATAGCTAAAATTGTTTTTGTTATAGTAGCATTTTCTTTATCATTAGCACTTTAATCCAGGTTGCAGAAGCTGAAGACAAAAAGTTGAATCACAGCCTCATCCTAATGAGGTAACCGCTAAGTAAAAGGTCGTAAGCCTGTTGTCAGCAAAATAAGTTGTAGTAGGCACACCTCTGACACTACTTTTCCATACTCCTAATTCATTATTGGTTGTGCGATTTCTGTTTTAAATTGTGGTTTGAGAATTTGGTTGGGATTTCCACAATTGGAGAGTAGTAGGAAGAGCCGAAAGTTAATTGCAGAACCAAAAATCTGTATGGAATTCTAATGCTTTCTGTTCCTCTCACGGAGAGTGACGTTCATAACTTTTTCATTGTGTAGCCTCTGCAGTGCACCGTGCTTTCTCTTAGCTGACCTCCTTTGAGCTTCACAATGACCACATCATGTGACCGGGCAGTGAGTGATAGGCTTTTCCCTCTGGGAAAATAGAGGCCAGGAAGTCTGCCTGTGGTCACTCTGCCCGACCTGGGTCCCCAGCCTTCTAACACCGTGTAGCCACTCCTGATTTTGTTAGTTGGTCATGACTTTCTGTTCCCATGTATTTTAGGTACCAGGGTCATGGAGATTGCTCTTACATAGGGGCAAGACAAAAACAGCTGAGACACATCCAGTTTTAGTAGAAAGAGGATGAGCTTTGGGAAAGAGAGAGGTGGGGGCATTCCAGCCCGTGCCCCTCGTTGGCATTGAGACCCGATAAGTCTCACGTCTCAGTTCTCAGAGGACATGCCAACACGGCCCTCCTTCCAGGGGCGTGGTAGCCGCGTTACTCCGTTGATGGCGGTTTAGGAAAGCACTGTCGGTCTCCAAGGCATCACTTTTATTGTGGGTATGTTTGCCATTTTGAACAACAAACATTTCACTGGATTGACTACCTATTCCTCCCCAGCCTGATGCTTTTCAGTTTGGTGGAATCATAGAATTTTAGAATTGGAATCTTAGAAATCAGCCGGGACAACTACCTAATTTTTACAGATGAAGCTAAAGCCCTGAGGAGTGTCCTTTGCCAACAGTTGCATCTCTAGTGGCAGAACCTAAACTAGAACCAAGGGCCTTTTGAACTGTCCTGTCCAGTGTCCTTCCATCAATGACACGGTCCCTGACCTGGGTGTACAGAGCCACCGTTTGCTCTTTTATTCTCTTTTTAATAAATAGCCTTTAGTGTTTCAGTTCAGCTACTTAATCTGAGTGCTAATGCATTTTTAATAAGGAAAAAAAATCTGGATAAATTCCTGATTTATAACTTAGTAGTTGTGAGTGTGACTTGATGGTTCCAAAATCTCTTAAGAGGTTTATATTATTTTGAATTCATAAAAATATTTTAAAATTATATTGACAGACTTGGACTTTATTTGTGTTACTCTACAACTAGTGGGTTTTATCCATTATTATTTTTTTTAAAGTCAAAACTATTTTCTACGTGATATGCACACATCTTTAGTTTCCACTTTTCAACCACTTGTTTTGACATTGTATACTATTCTGCAAATAGAAGGGTCAGAAGGGTCGTTCGCTTAGAAATGGCTGACATTTTACTGAGCTGACATCTTTCATAATTCATCATCGTTAAACGAATTGTGTAGTGCAAATTACCAACACGCAATGCCTTTTAAAAGTGCATTATGCAGTTGAGTGATAACTTGAAATATATTTATGCCCATTCATTATATAAAAATTTATTCAGAGTTAGGGCTGAAAATCTAAAAGTCAGAGAAATTAATATACAGTTCAGATTGGCTTTTTCCTCAAAAATATTTAACATATGTTCTGAAACAGGTTTTTGAAAGTATCAAAATATTTTAGTTGAATATCGTCACTAAGCTGGTGGTAGTATCCTTTATTTTTACGAAGTAGACGTGATTCTTTCCCGAACACGTTATACCGAATTGACTAAATTAGTACTGTTTCTGTTGATTTTAGAGGCCTCGTTTCTTTATTCCAAATCGATAAGCCATTGGCAATACCGATGCATTCCCTGAAGCGTCACCCTTTTTTCCTGAGAAATTAACACCTTGTGAACTACCACGTAGATGTCCACCAGCACGTTCCATTGGCTTTACCTTCACACTGTGTCCCGGATCCCCGTACCTCAGCACCGCTGTCATTTCCCACCCGAGGTCCGGCACCCTCACTGTTGCCTTGGTTATTGTACCACTCCCACCTAGCCTCCCGGTCCCTTCCCCAACCCTCATCTCTCTCTCTAACAGCCAGAGTGACTCCTGTAGAGTCAGGCACTTCGGACCATCTGCCTCTCCTCCCACGCAGAGCCGTGCCCGGTCCTTACCCGCCCGCAGACCTCTTCATGACCTCACCCCCGCCACGGCTGTCCTGGCTCGGTCTCCCTTCCTCTTTGCTCATGGGAGTCAGCAAAGTGCTCGCACACACAAACGCACTTCCCGTGTCTTTCCCCCGCCTTTCGCCACAGTACTTCTTGTCATATGACATGCTGTACATTTGTTTGTTCGTTATCTGTCTCCCCCTGCTAGACAGTAAGCTCCATGCAGAAAGGGACCTGCCTTTGTTCACTGCTGTTTCCCGAGAGCCTGGGACAGGGCCTGGCAGTCAGCAGGCACTCAGTAAATATTTGTTGAATGAATGAATTTGTTCAGGAGATGCGTTTTTTTTGTCATCCTACAGTGAGGACATCCTCTTGTAACACAAGTAGCTTATCCATTTTAACTTTCAGTTTTAATTACCAGGTTTTTATTAAAGCATATTAAAGACATAATCTTTAAAACTTGTATAATTTAAACATGAGAATTTAATTTCAAAGCTTTTCTCTAGCTAAGAGATTTTTGTCGATGAACTTTGCCCATAGTTAAACTTAAGACTGGCTTAATTTAAATTTCACATATTTCTGTTTATCTTCATACTTATATTTAAAAGGAAAAATTAGAGCATTGCTAAAGGGGAAACATTGTCAATTTGTGGAAACTTAATGCTCAGAAGTAGGACTTCTGCTTACTTTTATTTCTCTCAATTGTAGGTGAAGTATTTGACTATTTGGTTGCACATGGAAGAATGAAGGAAAAAGAAGCAAGAGCTAAATTTAGACAGGTATGAGTTAACAAACCTTTAGTTTATTAACTTAATAAAGTTATCTTGCTTAAACCCTGAAGCAAACAAGTGTTTGCCTCTGTAAATGGTTGTAAGGCCCCTTGGTTGAGGCAGGGGTTGGCCATTCAGTTCAACAAAAATTTATTGAGTCCCTTTCATGCCTAAGGCACTGTGCTAGAGGCAGCTATGGGTTCTGTTTCTAACTATGTAATTGGGTTTTAGTCTCACTCTGACCCTTAGTTCTTGACAGTGAGCCTTAAACTAGAGATTTTTCTTAACACCTGTCATTGCACTAATTAAAACCATTTCTGAGTTTTTAGCAAGAGAGTCACAATCCCAAAATTCATGACTGGTTTTGTCTTACATAAACCAAAACCAAACAGAACTTAATAATAATGACTATTTATTGATTGATCATTATCTGCCAGACATTGGGATAAGTACTTTGCCTACATTAATGTAAATCTTGCAACAGCCTTGTGAGTTAAGGAGCGTTATGCCCATTTGCTAAAAATAAGGAAACCGAAACACTGGCAGGTTAAATAATTTGCCCGAAATGTGATGCCCGGTAAGTAGCAGACCTGCCATCGATTCAATCCCAGGTCCTATGACTCCCAAACTCATTATGTTTGCTATTAGTTAGACTAGGAATCAGCAAACCATTTCTGTAAAGTGCCAGATAGTAAATATTTTAGGGTTTGTGGGCTGTGTAATCCATGTTGCAACTGTCGAGCTCTGCCGTTGTAGCATAGAAGCAGCTGTGGACGGTATGGAAATGAATGTGCTCACACTATTGTGTTCCAGTAAAACTTTACAAAAGCAAGCGGTGGGCCGGCTTTTACCTGCGTGCCACCGTTTGCCCACCCCTGATTTTGATGACAGGAAGGAGCGGGTACTTGATTACTTTCAGATTAACTCTGTTCTCCCATAGTTACAAGCTCTTCATTTGTCTCAAAACTTTAAAATTTTTCTTTTATTCACTTGTAAGGCTGTCAAGGTAGAGTTATGGATGGGAATCTTTAAAGGTTTCACGGTATTGGAAAGGCAGTTCTAGCTGATTTTCAAGATTTCTCTTAACATTTGCCTTTCTTGATTTGTTTAGTGTTAATAATTAAGGACTCATTTACAAGTTTCCTAACTTTTGCTACTTTTAAATTTAATTTAAAACTTTAAAAATACTAATAGCACTTTGAATTAAAACCTGTTAAATATCAAATTTGAAACTAACTTCTGGCTCTCATTTAACTTCTGATCCTCAGTTTTTCTAGCTATGAAAAGAAGTGCTACTCAGTGAATTCTGAAGTTCATTTCAGTTCCGTTATCGTTTTATTCTGTGATAATGGCAGGAAACTCAAATTTTCTTTATTACAAAACAAGTCTCTTTGACCCTTTTCATAACTGTACTCTTAATTTTTATAAATCGGCCACCTAAAAAATAAGATTTTTTTTTGCCTCATAAAACTTAAATTCCTTCCAGCTCAGGTAAACCTGTCTGACTGGCAGACATTACTGTGAATGTGTTTTATCGGCTGGGGAGAAGCCCGGTGCCAGCCAGCAGGCGTGAGCCCGGGCCCTGCCCCAGGAGGCATCAGCGCTTACAGCCGCAAGGCCTCTCTCTGTCCACCTCCACCCACGCTGCTGGGGTCCCGCTTGTCGGAGAGACTTGGGCTTTACTAACCTAGATCTCAAGGCAATCACTCAGATTTTTGTTTTAAATTTCCTGCAGGAATTCTGAAGCCTTCATTTGAGTAACCTTAACTGTTCCAGGAGAGGTCGTTTGTGCTTCTGCATTTAACAACCTGATTTACAGCGCTCACAGTTGACGTAACCCTTTCTCCTGGCCGCAGTGTGTCCTTAGGACAGTTCATTTAGACCCGGAAGGGCCAAGCGTGGTATCGGTGTCTCTGCTTTTCTCTGTTCCTAATTGCTATGCTTTCCAAAAGTATAAGTTGTCCTTACTTGGCCTAAATAAAGTTTTCCTATTTACGACAAAGCGGAAGGCGTGCCACGTACAGAGTACACTGTGCACAGTCTGCTTTCTGTCAGAAATTGGCCCTTCTCTGCATATTCATCAGCAGATGGCTTCTCCTCCCGCTTCCTTCACCATTCCTGTCCTGGTTACTGCTCACGCTATTTCCATCATTTGGCCGAGCTCTCATTCTTTTCGAAGAAAGAACAGAGTCCTGCCTCCGTCTCCTTCCCTCACCTCCGTGCCGGTGCGTGGCCATGTTGCTGCCTCCATCCTTCCGTGTGACTGGGGATGGGCTGACTTGCATTCAGATTCGAACCTGGGAACGTCAGCTTCCTGGCCTTCGTTAGGAGGAACTGCTTCTGTCTTAAAAGCAGAACGCGAAAAAAGCAATAATTTAAAGTTAAGTGTTTTCAGATTTCGGTGCCATTACATCAGCTTTGAGCTATTTGGAGGTAGAAGAGGAATTCTTTGATCTCTTTGAGAAGGCATAGGAAACTGTCAACTCTGATTCAAAAGCAGAATTTGAAAATACCTCTGAGAAAATTCTCCATTTTGGGGAGGGGGGCAGAGATAAAAGTTACCAGTGTCTTAGGCAATAAACCTCTTTGTTTTGGGAAAACAAAGCTATTTAATGTTTCCAGTTTTCATGCAGACAGAATAGGAACAGCATTTCCAAAGTGGCAGATGCTCTCAAGCCCATCTTTTGACATTGGAATTTTTCTTCCTTTGGGTTATTATGAATAGGTCCGATCTGCTGAATATTCACTTTATTATAAAGTATAAAATGGCTTAGTGAAGCCCTGATGTTGGCATCATCCCACCCTAACCCCAGCCATGCTTCTCTTTGCTGCTTATTCTGAACCAAAAAATGTATAAAACAGCCCCAGAGTTTTGTTTGTTTGTTTGTTAGAAACAAAAAGAAGGTTTATTAGGAAAGGGGTAACACGCCACAGACAGAGTGGTCTCCTTTCAGGGGGAGAGAGTGAGAGAGCCTAAGAGAGACAAAGACAGTGAGAGAGACAGAGTCAAGGTTAGTACAGAAAGACAGCGAGAAGGGACACAGCCCCAGAGTTTCTATGTCTAGTGTAGGTCAGTGCGTGTGGCCTACAATTAAAAGTGGATGATTCGGAGAAATAGGCAGTATTTTCATTATAACCTTAGTTTTGTGTATATATAATCATGTATGTAAATACACGTGCATAATACCAAAGAAAGGACTAGAAGCAAATAGGCCAAAATAGCAGATGTTACCTGCGTAAACTTTTCTACATTTCCTAAAATTTAAAGAGACTTGAAAAAATTACTAATAAGTGTGAAGATTCAGCAAAACAGTGGTTTAGCAGTGCTGGTCACAGGGCCAGCGAGAAGGTGAGTGAAAGCATACCACTTGCTGAGAGTGGCCGCGACCCTACCGATGGAGCACAGGAGTTTCCCTAGTTTGTCGTTCACGCACATCACAGCATTCACAGCACAACATTCACGCTTCCATTTTCAGGAAGAGGAAGCTGATCCTCAGGGAGGTGAAGTAACTGTTGCTGTCCTTGAACTCACAGCAGCTAAAAGGAAGCGAGCATTGTAGGGAGCAGACCGCCTGGGAAGGAAAGGAATTGGCAGAAGAAGCAACCTGGAGTAGCACCTGGCCACGGGCAGTCTGTAACTGCCAGTCTGGGTCTGAGTTGGTCACGTGGGCGTGGAGAGCTTGCAGCAGAGTCATCCGATCCTGGTCCCAGGGGCAGCCAGGGGCCTCCAGATCTGGTGGTTTGTTAGGCCCTGGCACCACGCTCACAAATACTGGGGTGTCGAGGGTAGGGCCCCAGAAGAGACTTCCCAGTTAAACTGCAGAGAACAGGAAGAACACCCCCACCCATCTCTTTTTGCCCTCACCCCTGAGCTTCTCCAAATCGAGAAGTTCAAAGCAAAAGAAAAGATTTAAAGATCCACAGACACTGGAGTGAGTGCTCACTGAGCATTTAGCAGATGTGAACAGTAATGGATTTTCATCTTAGTTCTGCGTCCGCCCCAGGGATGGCTGTTAACGTTGCTTCTCTCCTTCCCAGATCGTGTCTGCGGTCCAGTACTGCCACCAGAAGCGGATCGTTCACAGAGACCTCAAGGTGAGTCCCCGCGCCCTCAACTGGCGCATGCTCAGTGTGCGCTCAGTTCTCCGGCATCGGCACAAGTGAGGCGTAGATTAGACCGTGTTACTAAATAAGCCGAGGTAACTCCTATGACAGTTGAAGCTTTTTAATCAAGTTCTCGTCAAGAGCATTAAAGATGAAGGAAAATGAGGTTTATTAAAAGTATTTTACGTTTCAGTTAAAGCAGTTCATAGTTGGTCTCTGGAGAAAACTCATCACGCCAGCAAACAGACGGGAGCCTCAGAAATGCACCTTCTCACCTGGTCAGCGGTCCCTCCTGTTCCCCTCCACCTCTGCCCTTTCTCTAGGCACAGGAGGTTTCCTGTTTGACAGAGAAGATAGAAATGCCAGGGCAGAGCCGGCACAGCTGCACCTGCGCCCACCTTCACCCCTCAGAGCTTTCCTCCCGTTACAGGACAGCTGGGCGCCCCCGGCCCCGCATCTGCTCTGGGTCCTGTGCCCTTCCGGGGGCTGCCATGCTGACTGGCGCCTCCCGTCGCCCGTCTCTCCACTCACTTTCCGCTGGGTCTCACCAGCAGCGTTTACAAAAGCGTGCTCAAGTCCGAGCCATCTTTTACCAGAGACCCCCACCCCCTCCCCTTCCACATTCGCCCTTTTCCCCTCTTCACCTCCACAGCCATGTTTCTCTAAACACGATCTCGATTTCTGGATCCTGTCTAACTTGGCGCTCACTTCCTCTCTCTCTTCAACGTAATGGTCATCGACCTGCTGGTTCCTCTGCGCAGCCACTCCAGAGCCGTCCCTGCAGCCAGAGCCGTCTTCTCGGTCCCGCATCCCGCTGGCAAAAGGACACCTTCCCCTAAGCACCCCTTGGGCACCCTGGGGTCAGCAGAGTTCCTTCCTGAACTTGAACATTCATTTCTCATCCTGGCGACTGATGTCCCTCAGGCACCTCGCTCTCCTCTGCTCTGTCATCCACTCGGTCCCCGGTCCTTTGGTACTTACCTGTGGACCGTGCTCTTTCCTGCCCGCGTCACTCACTGTCCTAGCTCAGACCGCCAGTGCCTCGTACACCAGCTTCTCGCCTGTCTCCTCCCAGGTTGCCTCTCCCTCCCATGTTTTCCACACCGCAAGCAGAATGGCCTTTTCCGAACACAAGCAAGACGGCCATTCCCCTGCTTGAACAACCCTTCAGCGGCTTCCCATTGCCTCTCGGTTGGACACCTCAGCTTTCCGACTCCAAGTCACTCTGCTGACCCTTTGTGGTTCTGCTGTGGCTGCGTCCCCAGCCATCTTTCTCTCTGTGTCTTTCTCGCACAGTCTTTCAACATCTTGAGCAAAAGGTCTTCTGTCACCTTCTGGGTTTTCAGACTGTTCTGCCTGAAGTCTCTCCCATCAGCATACCCCCTGCTAGCGACTGAACCTTGAGCCCGCAGCTTTCGATTTCACCCCCTCTTGGAAACCGTCCATCAGCTCCCACCCGTCCTGTCACAGCACTTAGGTCACAGAGTATAGCTGCCTATTTTTCAGCCTCTCGCCTTCTAAACCATGAGCTTCCTGAGGGCAAGACCCTGTCAGTCTTGTTCATTATATGTCCCGGCACTGACATAACGCCTGGTATGGAATTGCCACATGGTGTATATGTGTTCAAGTGAATAAATGTGATTGTGATCTGTATCTGGAATGAGGTTTAGGGGTCTCCCTCCCCAGCAACAGCCATTTTATAGTTAGCAGTTTTAGGAAATGTGTCTGTCCACCTAAAGCAAGTATTCATTTTTTTAAAGCTCCTTCTTATTCTTAATTTAAAAAGCTATATAAAAGTTTTTTTAATTGTGGGGCATTTATTGTTTAAATTATTGGTAGAATTAATCTATACTTTGTGTCTGTTATTGGATGTTAATGTTAAAAATTAGAAATTCTGATTTAGCTCCTTCTTTTTCTGGAAAGAATGCTTTCTCATTTTATTCATTAGGATGTATTTAACTTTATATCCTTACAAAAAAACTTTTATGAAATGCCTAATTCTATCACAGTTATAATTATATTTTGGTTAAATTTCATTTTTGTCTTGATGTTTTCCCTCTAGGCTGAAAATCTATTGTTAGATGCTGATATGAACATTAAAATAGCTGACTTTGGTTTTAGCAATGAATTTACTGTTGGCAGTAAACTGGACACATTTTGTGGCAGTCCCCCGTACGCAGCCCCAGAGCTCTTCCAGGGCAAGAAATATGACGGGCCGGAAGTGGACGTGTGGAGCCTCGGCGTCATTCTTTACACTCTAGTCAGCGGGTCACTCCCCTTTGATGGACAGAACCTAAAGGTAAAAGAAACAGTTGTATCCAGGTTCTTCAGAAAGCTAGAAGGGTTTATAAAAGGATGAGCGTTGGTGTTTTCATGTTGGGTCCGTATGGCCTCCGGGGCTGCTTTTCTCACCTCACAGCTGACTTTCTCATTTTCTTTCTTTCTTCCTCCCCAAAGGAACTGAGAGAGAGAGTATTACGAGGGAAGTACAGGATCCCCTTCTACATGTCCACAGACTGTGAAAACCTCCTCAAACGTTTCCTGGTGCTAAATCCAATCAAACGAGGCACGCTAGAGGTAATCTCATAAGTGGAGATAAGTGACCATTTCGGAGAGTTTTTCAAGTATTTCCAGAACTTTGCTTGGTTTATATGACATCGAGAACTATCTTGAAGCTTTTAAAGCAGGAATTGAGACATAAAAACATTTTTTGAGCAGTAATCGATGAAATTTGAAAGTAAGTTCTCCGAAATATTGTGATTATCAGAGCATTTTATTTTCTGCTACTAA